ACTTTGTCGAACTATTTTTGTCCAGGGGGATATATAAAACAAACGACGAATTGGATTATCTGGCGAATATAATCTTAAGTATGATGATTAACGCAGGAGTTGGTGAAAGAAAATGGTGAACTATTAATTATTTAACAAATTTCTAATGCTTAGAAAACTGCAATCAGAATTGTAATTACTGATAAATGTTCTACTTGATGGGCAGCGCTAAATCCATCTGTATCTGAATCAGTTCATAAGACCAAAATTTTAAAAAAAAAAGAATTTTATGGAAAACAACAACGATATTCTTTAAGAAGTGAGAACTGTCGCAAGCTTCGTGTCTATTGTGGATATGACAGTATCATCTTTGCAGGAGTTTTTCTTTCTTCTTTTCTCTTGAGTGACTAGGTTTTCTATAGCATATTCATCTTTCGAAGACTAAAAAATATCTTTTTAATTAGTTGAGACTCTAATCTTGTCAAACAGCTCATCCTATACAGGATGTTTTACAAAGTATTGAGACATGAGAAAACTAGTTTATATATAGACAGAAAATAACCTATGACCAAATGTGTTTATATTAACTTTGAGTATTCGTGTAAAAGTATAAACATAAGAATGTGATGATAAATTTTTCACAATCGATGAACAAGATATATTGTTAATGCTTTTGGTACCGGGCGTGATATATATACCACTTCGAGTATTTCTCAAAATTCAGCTTTGGTATATATGCCAAATTAATCAAAAGTAAGCGAAAATAGTTTGCATAATTGATTATGGATAATTAATTGTTTCAAAGCTTATCATACTCTAAAACACTTTTGATAATGTTTTTTGATTGAATAAGCATCTATTGTCACTTATATAAAAAAACTACACATTTTCAAAAATCACGGCATCAAAGGGTTAAGAAACATCGCAGAACATTCTTATGTTAATCTGATTACACAAAAATCTCATGTAACTATTATGTATTTGCTGTCTACTACTTTTTATTAATTCCTCAAGTCTCTAAGAAATTTTATCAATCAGTTTTGGACAATCATTACAAGTTTTTTTTTCATTTTTTGTTCAATCTAGTTATATGTTATTTAAAGCTTGAAAATTTTTCTTCTCGTACTAATTGTTTTAATATTCTTCATACAATTTTTGTAGGTCATACATCAACAAACTTAGTTTTACGCTCTTGGGGTAAAACTTGATTGGTAAATAATTCATCAATAGTTCAAAATGCAATCATTGTTCATTGTATTTCAATTTTCACGCGACATTTTCAAATATTTTATCCATTTCAATCTGCTTACTAAGTACATAGCTTGACCTAACACATAACCAAAGGAGTGTGATGAGCGTGAAATAAGTGAATAAGATAAATAATTATTGCTTTCTACTACATTATGTTTTGTGTAGAAATGTTGAGCAGTTTGTTATAAAAGTTTTAAAAAACAATCACGTTAATCGATTGTGAAAATTTTCTAGTCCCACTCCTATGTTTATATTTGTATTATTACAAGAGAATATATTATCTAATAATATGTCATTTGAAAGATCGACACGAATATTCAAGATTTATATAAAAACATTTGGTTAGAGGATATTTTCTGTCTATATATCAACTATTTCTGTCATGCCTCAGGATTTATGAAACACTGTGTAAGCATATTTCTAGTGAACTTTCTTTATTCAAGGCCTTGACTGAAGAACTATTATTAGAATGCTGCTACTCTGATGAGCCTTATTCCCAAATTGCTTGTTGGCCACACACGTGCATAAAAAGTGACCGTATACTAGCTTATTTATTGTTAAGCGTAGTTCTATTCTTTCACTTCTCTTTCTTAATTGTCTTGCTTCTTAGCAACAAATACGCTAGTATGTGGCCACTTTCTGTGCATGTGCGTAGTCAACAAGCAATTCATGAATAAGACTCATTTTTGACGAGTGATTCTGACGCTTGTGTGCTTTTTTCCGTCTTACATATCACAGAGTAAAACCGAATCGAATAGACGAATGATTCGTTTCGATTCGTTTGAGCCAAGCCGAGTCGAATTCGAAAGAAGGTTTTCTCATTTGTTTCGCTCTCTGTTACAAATAGTGATCATCATAACTTGATCGATATCAGAACTTTTTGGAAAAGCTCATCACTACTAACGATACACTAAGCGCCTTATATTTTTTTCTCATTTAGAATGACTTTCTCCATAAAAGATATTTATCTGAGTTGTGTATTTTTATTTTTATTTTTATTTTTGTACAAATAATTAGGATATGCATGACTTATATTAAATCGTAAGTTAATGCTAATTATGAGCTAAAAGTTAAGCCGATGGCTAATCTAAACAAGTCATCTATAAATGAGAAAGAACGCAAATGAACACATGACAAAGAAAAAACGAGCAAGTAATCGAAAGAGGAAAAGTAATTTTCTTTTTTCTTGTCTTCATACAGTCGGCGTGAATGGGTGTAACTGATTGAATTGCGGATTCGCACCCTCTCGCTCACGTCTGCATCCACATGTACACCCATGGACACTTTTCGACAATAATCATCAGCCAAGGTATCCCGATTTTGATAATCTAAATAGTGTAAGATACATCATTCGACCGGAATCTTTATGCTGATCTTTGGTGAATTACTCACTGAGGATTATATTTTCTACAAATATGTTGGAATACCTGATACAAATGCATGAACAATTAATAGTTGAACTGAAATTATTCGACAACAGGTACAATAGTCGTAGGTTTTTTCAATTTCATAATTCTTATCGAAAATCGAATTTTTAGTTAGATTCATTTAATTATGCGATGAAGCCGGTCCCATATATCAACTCTTGTCATTTTTTTCATCGATCAATCATAAGTATTCATCATTCATTTATTGCCATAATCCAAATCAATTCTGTATCTCAACAAAAACTGTGTTTTCAGATTCGCTTTTGTCACTAATAAGTTCTATAGTGTGTTGTTAAGTTTTTGGCAACATCGAACAAAATCAATTTCAAGATTTGGTGCCACTGATCGAATCTTGTTGTTTTTCCCAATATTCGTACATATATACTTCAAATAATGCCATGACCGATTGTTTTTTTAAAGAGATATCTGGTGAATGGAATTTTCCTTTCAAGCCTGTTCAACTAAATATTAAGCGTGTTAGAACAAAGTTTCTGCTACCAACGTAAAATTTGTAGTGTGAATAAAACTCAAAGCACTAGCACTGACTTCATTAGCTGTGTTTTTTATTTCCCGTAAAACTTGTACTAAAGATAATTGTCATATTGAACTTGAATAATCATAAATGTAAAATTTATACTTAGAGAATGCCACATAAAAATATGATAGTCTAATATGCACTTGTTTATCTGAACTGATTATCCATAGAAAAGTTAAACTTACAAAACATTATTTTAAATCGATATAGTTTTGCAGGAATATACAAACGTTGAAAGATTTTAATGATTCAAAATAGCGGTGAGAATTTGAATATGGAGCTTTACCTAAGACGAGCAGAAGGATGATCCTTAAAAGCATACCAGGCCACAATCTAAAAGTACGTTTTAAGATTGATTTCAGATATCGTTGTAAGAATAAATGTTGACTAACTTGATTGCTATTTCATTGCACTATCAATTTGTGTGTTAATAAGGAGCTCGTTAGCATGAAAAAGAGTCATAAAGCAAATACCATCAATGGTGAAAAGATGAAAGCAATAATTACTAAAAATTACTGCCATTCGATATGTGAATCGGATGAAACAAATGCATCGACTATATTCAATGCTAGATAAGACTCTGCAAACACAGAATATCTATATCATTCTCACGATGGAATTCTATATTCTGCGTAGTGAAATTCAGCGAATGAACAAGCAATACATCAAATCGGCAAATAATGATATCGGATTCTATAGTGTTCCCTCACGTCTGCTTAATTATGTCTTGCAAACGACACCAGAAACATCAGCCATTCATATAGACATTAGTACGATCAAAAACGTGTATTACAGATGAAACGGCATAGTCAATTTCTTCAAAAAAATATTTAAGCAAAGACTTTACAGAGAAATTGCACAGAAACAGAAGCGAAGAACGAAAACAATCACCGTTTTTTATTGAAATGTAAAGACTTTGTTTTCCATTGTCTTTGTATCCTCTAAAATAGGGAACTACTTGACGACAAAAACTATTGCTGTTCTCATCTTTTACTCTGCTCCACGATCGTCGCTTATTGTATATATGTTAGCAAACTCGGATTTAAACTTAATACGTATGGCAAGAATGATTTTGTACTGTCACGGAAGTCAATCACGATGTTGATGAACATAGTATCAATGCGAATGCAAGTACCATTCTCTGTTTAAAAAATGATGCGGAGCATGGGTGCGGGCAGGAATGTGAGTATTCTCATTTTTAACACCCACACCTTACCCACACTCATACTCACACCCACACCCACACCTCACCCAGGTTGATTTCTACTCCGATTCTAATTCCGTTCGGACGAAACTGCGATTCTAATTTGTCCTACAACAATTTGATCAAATTTGGAAATTCAATATTGGCCGTAATATATTTTTTAGAGAATGAATACTAGTTCTTTTTATGGAACATTGCACTATTGAGTAAAGAAATATGAAAAAAAAAGATTATCTGAGAACCACAAGACTCAGTCTCTATGAACCACGCTTTGGAAACTGATTATTCTTTTCAATTGATTTACCTGATTTCAGAATTAGGATTCGTCTCCTCACATCTCTTTCTGACACCGATCACAAGTACTTCATATATCTATCTGTTGATATCTTCTGGATCACAAAAATATGAGCAGTAGACGTACATTGAAATTGTACATGTGTTCATTTGTTCAAACATAAATAATGCAACATGACAAATTGAACTTTTGATTGTTATATTTTAAATAAACACACTGACACTTATGTATCTGTCGATTAGAATTTACATAGTTTCGATTCAATTTAGTGTTAACTATCAATATATATCTGAGTAATTAAATCATGCATCACAGGTCAACACAGGTACTGTGGTTCATATTTTCATCATGCTTTAACATGTCTGGTCCAAATTGAAACGTATATCGAGCATTCGTTTTAAGCATTTTACCCGATTTATAATACCAGCGAATAGCACGAGAAAATTTATCATAGGTCATTGTATGACTTGATTGTCGAGATTTAACTTTTTTCCATAGGGCAGCCACCTTATTTGGTTTATGAATCGTGAACATCCCAATCGATCGATTTGTGTATGATGCGTAAGAAGTATAATGTGTTTTGTCGAGAAGAAGACGAAGAAATTCAAGGAGACGAGGTGATCTGTTACGATTCAAAGTTGAATCAAAAATAAGCCATTCGCTAGGTTCAAATGATATATCACTTTCACATGTCGACGACAGTTCATCAAGGGAATTTGTTGTGCATGAATCTGACATCGATTGAGACTCGTCATTATCGACAGATTCACAAGATTCATCCTCAACGTAATCTTTCTCGCACGCATCAACTAGACCTATCTTAAGGTAGTCTATAATTTCATCGATTTTGGCCAAATCTTTATCCATCTTGTCCATGATAGTGAAACTGATAAAAGCAAAAGAGTAATTGATAGTGTCAGAAACAAAAAGTAATATAAGAAATATATGACAGTAGGGAACAAGTGAGTATTATTGTGAAAGTAATAGAAAAAAATAAAAAAATCGTTGTGATATAATGTAAATACTTCTCTATGTACATATATATATATACATTCAGCACAACTTTTCTTTTATGAAATCTCAATCAAATTAATGATTATCAGCATGAGCAACTAAAAAAATGCGAACGCAAAAAATAATCAGTTTGGAAGTTTCCTTTTTTCCGTTTTTCTTAGCGTGGGCATAGATGATGCAATTCACATTCTATGAAATTTTATCGTTCTGCGAAAAAGTCACAAATGTACTCAAGTGCACAAACATTTGCACTCTTTCTCAGCACAATAAGTTGGTTTTTTCCAAGATTCATAAAGTTAAAATACTCATAGATGGTTGATGAGAAAAGAAAAATGCAAAGATACCACTGCATGCGTGTTGTTTCACTCCTAATAGTGTGAAAGAAGTTTTTCTGTCAGGTGAATTATGTATTCAGTGACTCTTTTCCATTGATACTGACGTGTAAAATATCTCATGTAAGCATATATTTCCAGTGAATAAATATTTCTGGCAACGAATCACTAAAACTCAACTAAAAAAATTAGTAATGGTGCTGACCAGAGATGAAGCTGGTGCCGATCACTAGCCAGTCCGGTACCGATACGAGTTTCAGACCAGCCAGTCTGCCGGTAGACCGATCGGTCTGAGCTTTTCGGACTAATACCAGTAACAGTTGTCGAAAGTTCAGACTAGTTCCATCTCTATATCAGGTATGTGGTACAACTTGGCACATAAAGTTGTTCACGCGATAAACCGAGTTTTGCATATTTCAAATATTCTCTCTCTAGTACTGTGAATTATTGATATATCATTCGCCACGGGTAGACCGATCGTTTGCCGGCTGATCGGTCGGTTCGGTCCGAGCTGACATTTTCAGACTGGTACCAGTACCGGCCTTCGAAAATTCAGACCGGTTCAATCTCTGGTACTGGCAATAGAGAGTAAAAAGAAGCATGTTTCAGACATCATTGAATATGAATTCATATAGAACTTCGAATATTGAATAGAGGACTTCTGAGTCGGTACGCTTTGTGGACTCTAATAGTTTTTAAAAACTCTATTAGATAGGGCGTACATATGTATAGGCGTATTGATTGTGCTGAGTGTATAGGGTGCAGGGTTGCCGCATCTTCCGCGTTTTGATATGAAAGTAGTTTTTCGTATTTCAAATTCGGTACAGAAGAAAACGCTTTCTTATTGAATATATCATGCTCACTCACGTATACAGCCTGCCGTCATTCTTATTGAGTGATCTGTTAACTCAGGGTAACAAGATCAACTGTTTTTATGGAAGAGAGACTCTTCTCTTAATTCCTATTCGCGCAGTAAAAACATATTCTGCCTTCAACTGATAGTTAAGTCTGTTTATCTACTTACTTCGCGTGCCTTATTTAGACAGAAAAATCTCAAATCTGAAAGTCTAAGCAGCTTTTTTATGATCTATTGATAGCGAGATGATAAATGAAGATGAAAATAATCATGAAAAATGTAATAACAACAACGCTAATGTTATAATCAGGTGAAAATAAAAACGTGAAAGCCACAGCAGATATTTTTCAAAAGAACAAGAAAAACGGTGTCGATGTGTCTGTACATCTTCTCTTCAGCGACACCCTATTCATACCGACACCCACCCACATCCACACTCGACACCCCACACATTCAAACCCACACCCCACATCCACATCCACACGCTCCATCTGGTCTATCGTCTATCCTGAGTTGCTACAGGTTGCATTACATTGTCAAAACGTAAAAAAGGATATGCATTACTGTGCACACAAAGACGAGTATGAGCCGTGGCTCTTCGGGTGCACTTTGCGCCTCCGTCCACGCTGCGATGCAAACAGAAAAGTTGTTTATACGAGCAAATTTTTTTTTAATTCTTGTGTAATTGAAATCAACTTTCAAGTTTGGCGTGTGTTGCACACTATCTATTAAAGTTTTTATCCAACTCTACTAGAGTTCAAAAGACGCACTTACTATTTAAAACAACTGGAGATCGAATGATCAAACTCACGCATCGACTAAATCATGCGATAGACAGTGAATGCAATGGTCAGTTACGTTTCTGTATGTCTACAAAGCTACGACAACAAAATGCAGAAAGTAAGCGTAGTAGAGTACTGCACGGGTACAACTTTTCGTACCCGTACCCTACCCTACCCGTAACCAACTGTGCCCGTACCCTACCCTACCCGTAACTAATTGTACCCGTACCCTACCCTACCCGTAACCAATTGTACCCGTACCCTACCCGACCCGTAGGTTACAATTTCCTAGAATCTTCTCCTATTCCCGGCTCGCACCCCACATATCTGGAATAGAGTAAACCCTTCCCCAGAATAAAAGAGCATGGCCTTATATTGCGTCTCCGCACATCGTTGCCTTCTAGGTGACTTTCTATTGAGGTCAGCTTTTGACCAATTATT